TCTCTCTCTCTCTCTCTCTCTCTCTCTCTCTCTCTCTCTCTCTCTCTCTCTCTCTCTCTCTGCTTTTGATGTATAGCCCAGGTTGGCCTCAAAGTCATGGAAATCCCCTTCTCAGACTCCCAAAGTGAGATTTCATAGTTCATGCGGGCCTTGAACTAAATATGTAACCGAAGTGAGTTCTGGGGTTAATTTGCTACCATACTTGACTTTTTTTTTTATTTTTTTAAAGATAGATACTCTCTCTGTAGGCAAAGTTAAGATACAGAGGCAGGGTCTAGAGGAAGGGTCTTGGGAGGCCAAGAAAAGGGCGAGAGCAAGGTCTATCTATGTAGTTCAGAGTAGCCTTGAACTTGTGATCTTCCTGTTCCAGCCACCTGAGTGCTGGCATTACGGTTGCACATCATCTTGAGGCCTGAATGAGGATGCAGTAGAAAGTGTTCTTTGCACATATAAGGCTCAGGTTTAATCTCCAGAACTGGGAGAAAAGGACTGCAGTGTGTGTGTGAGTGTGTGTGTGTGTGTGTGTGGTGTGATATGAGTTTGTAATGTAGTGTGTGTTGTGTATACTGTGTGTTGTGTATAGTATGTGTACTCATATATGGTATAACTATCTCCAGGGTAGTGCTTAACTCAACAGGAGTATATTTGTGTTTCTTCCCTTGAGTTGAACAAAATTGTTATGTCTGTGTAGTACCAATGGTCTCTGGGGGACTTCAGAGATCAGCAGAGGTTCCAGAGAACTGTTGAAAGAGAACAAGTAGTTCTCATGCCTGGGAGAAATGAGGAAAATAGACAGAGCTGATCCTTGGCAAGATATGCCAGACAACCAGTGATGCTATAGCCCCTTGTACAGATGCTCCTGGTCCTGGGCCCTGCCCTGATTTGTCACTGTTCCCTCCCTCTTCTCCTCCCCTTTTTCTGCAGTGTTTGGGATGGAGCCTAAGGCTTTGCCAATGCTAGAAAAAAAAAATGCTTTATCACTGAGCTGAAAGCCACCCCCAGCCCCAGCCCCACCTTCTTTTGGTCAGGTTGTGACTCCAAGCAGAATCCCTGGTCTGTGCTCTGGTCTGGAGAATACATCCATACTGTGATTTGCCCTCTTGAATAAGATCTTATATCTTCTAGACTAATAACTTAATAAAAAAGGGGAGAAAACATTTCCTTCCACCTGTGGGGCTTTCTCCTGCTTCTGAGAAAGAGAATGTATATTTTAAATCAGATAATCTGGAGATAATGTGTCTGCATATGCCTTTTGTCTCTTAAAAATCCCTTTTATTTCAGTCCAGGCAGGAGAGAGATGTAGTGTCATATCTGAAGAGAGATTCTGGGGGCGGCAGTCAGGCAGGACACAGAAATGGCGCCATATTGCTACCTGGTCAGACTGTTTCACCACACGTCTGATGAAGTCAGAAAAATGAAGGGCACCCAGATCCGGGAATGGGCGAATAGCGGGAAGGTGTTTTTCCTTTTTTTTTTTTTCTCTTCCACCCCCCCGGAGGCTCCTTCAAGGGTCATGGATGGCTTCAGTCTAGTTTTTGCCATACAAAGGGACTAAAACCAGTATGTACACAAGCAGGAGGCCATGCAGGGAAAATAAACAACGTTACGCTGGGCAGCAGAGCAACCGATGGCAGTGGGCAGACAAGCAACTGATGGCGGTGGACAAAGACAGTCAGTCCCTGGTGTAAATCCCAAATGTCGCCTTCCCTCCCTAGGACTCCTGCTTTGTCCAGCCTTTTTTTTTTTTCTTTTCTGTTGTACATGCACACCCCTTTGCTCACTAGCATGCAGTCTGACGTAGCTGCGGTTCTGAGGCCTTTTGCAAAGACGCAGAGGCAAGGCCTCGGGGAGTTGGGGGAGCTCTAGAGGCTAAGGAAATGGACATCTGCGGCCTTAGGGGAAAGGAGAGAACAGTGGGTGGGGCAGGTCCCCCAGGAGGTGAAAGCAACGAAAGCTGGCATTATCGAGTGTCAATGAGAAAGGATGAACTGACCAGGCAAGATGAAGGTGTACAAACATACTCTCAGGGAGAGGCTTTCAGAAGAGCTGGGGAATGGATGAGGTGGTATGTGGGGGCGGTTATTTAGGATACCTGATGCAGGCTTACTGAGAAGATCTTCCAGCAGGATCTACGGAGGGGTTCTTCCTACTTGTTCCGGCAGCTGCCTTCTGGGGCTAATATATTCCCCTCAGGTCGCTGCTTGCGGTTCAGAAACTGGCAAAGAGAAGATCGCTGCAGCAGCTGGAGCTGCTACCACCGTCCATGCCCGTGGGCGGCGCCGCTGTCCGGGCTCTGGTGCTGAAGCAGCGGCAGCGGTGGGCTCCTGCGCATGCTTCAGCTCCAGAGGCCAGTCGCTGGGCGGGGCCGAAGAGAAATCCGCCAATGGACGCAGGGCAGGAAGGAGGGAGGAGAGATAGGGACTCAAGCTGCTGCAGCGCCGCAGCAGCGGGGGCTGGGGGTTCGTTGTCACTAAGGTTGTAGGCTGCAGTACAGGCCTCTCTACCCTGGCTACGTCTCATCATTGTCCTCAGTAATGTGGCCAAACCGTCTCTCCTGGACGCCTTGTTCTTTTTATAAGAAACCAGAAAGAACGACCCGGGTAAAATCCTCACAACTTGAACAGCTGGCTTCCACACTTCATAGCGCAGGGAAGCAGAGAGGTTGGGTCTCGTGACTCTCTATTTCTCTAGGCTTCTCTCAGTGTTCTGTCCTCCAGAGGGGGAGCAGGGTATCTGCTCGAGTTAGGTCATTCTTCCCATTTTGGACCCGGCCTTGGATCTACGGCCTCTTCCTACATTAAAGCCTCTTCTCGAATTTTTAAAGTGCGCAACAAGGGGAAGGGGTAGTGAGAGGAGGAGAGATGCCCAGCCCCTTTCATGCAGTTACCACTACTCCCCATCTGATAGTCATCCACTCCGGAGCACTTGCCAGCCCCCACCAGGAACTAACTGTGAAGGAACTGAGGTGTTGGTTGAAGGGCCGGCCTGGCTAAAGGGCTGTAGCTGAATTATAGTGAATACCTCAGTGCAGAGGAGTGGAAGAGTCCTTCATAGATCTGGATAGGCAAAAGAAGGATTTCACAGCAAGCAGGCTGTTCTGGGCCTGGCTGTGTTTGTTGTGCATGAAGGTGACAGGCTGAGGAGAGTCAGATGAATGAGGCTTGGTTTGAAGATATCCCTTAATTGTGTCTAAGTGCTGGTCTAGGCAAGGCACAGGTTCTAAGGCATGGGCTGAGTGGATCTAGAGGTTTAGAAGTACCTCGAGTGACTTATAGGTGGCTGGAGGGATAAAAGCAGCCTTAAATCGGTGCCAGGTGGCCAGGGTGTGAGTAGGCCTATGAGATGGTTGGTACCATCTTTTTTTTTTTTTTTTTAAGATTATTTATTATATGTAAATACACTGTAGCTGTCTTCAGACACCCATATGAGGGCATCAGATCTCATTGTAGATGGTTGTGAGCCACCATGTGGTTGCTGGGATTTGAACTCAGGACCTCTAGAAGAGCAGTCAGTGCTCTTAACCGCTGAGCCATCTCACCAGCCCTGGTTGGTACCATCTTTGATCTACAGTTTGTGGCAGAGAAAGGGCAGGATACAAAGAGAGCTGTTTCTTTCTAATAGCTTTAAGGAAAACTGTCCAGAGACAGTGGAGCTGCAGCTGGCTAGGAAGGTTTTGAAAATGTGAAGGTATGAAAGACAGACAGAACATGCCTCACCTGGAGTGGGATTTAGGAGACTGTAACAGAAGAAGGTTGGGAGTTCAGTGTGTTTTCAGGAAATAATGAGAATGTATTCGGACAACAGAGAACTGTTGAAACCCCATCAGACCAGTGATCTGAAGCAGCCCTCTGCTGTGGGTACCACTTAGTCAAGCTTCTGAGAATGCCAAGATGGATATCTGGTTTTCACAGTAAGGAAATTAAGATAGAACTGGGCTCTGAGCACCAGTTGGATATGAAGATAGACAGTCTCTAAAGAGAACAAATATGGCCTCCAGGAGGCTATTTATTTGCAAGGGAAAATTCTAGTTTAGACCCAGTGCTTAGGTCAGCTGGGGATTCCATGCAGACTCTTCATCTTGTATCTTCGTTTCTTCTGATTTCTCAGTGATGTGGACCAGGGTGAGGCCCACAGTGTCCTGGGCCATGGCCATGGGATGGGCCACCAGGTCCTGGAGGGTGATGTCCCCCAGGACAGTGCCCTGGTCCATGGCCAGGGGGTGGGCCACCAGGTCCTGGAGGGTGATGTCCCCCGGGGCAGTGTCCTGGACCATGGCCAGGGGGTGGCCCACCAGGTCCTGGAGGGTGATGTCCCCCGGGGCAGTGTCCTGGACCATGGCCAGGGGGTGGCCCACAGTGAGGATGACCCTGGCAATGCCCCTGTGGAAAGTCAAAAGAGAAATGCCAGAGTGCAAAGCCAATGGCAATGGCTGCGGTCAGTTCCTCTTTACCTCCCCTCCCCAAAGGACTCAGGATTCCTGGGCATCTGCAAGGGGGTGTAGTGGGAAGTTGGTGATAGAGGTAGCAGGGAACTGCTCCTAGCCCTCCTGCTTCTTTTGCAGTGAAGTCTTTCAGATACTGGGCAAGGAAAAAGGGAAGAGTCCAGATGCTTTAGGTTTATTCCTTTTGCAGAGCTGTGTGACCTCTTCTGGATCTGGAGTTATTAATTTGTAAGAAGCAAGATTATCTTATAGGTCCCTTCCCTGGCCTGGGGTCCTCAGCAGAATGGCTACAAGTTCTGCCTTGCTAGAAATGAGAGCTCACTACATTTAGGAGCAAAGGTGAAGCTGAGGAGGCTGGAGAATTCCCTAAATGCCAGGTGAGGAGAAAGCCAGGCTCCAAGGAGAAGAGCAGGTGAAAGGTAGAGGGTGGACATCGAGAATGTGTTCTGTATAGACAAAAGTGTGTTAAATGCATATACAATAGCTATGGTTGTGGAGTGTGGTGGCACATGCCCTTAACCCTTTAAGAGGGCAGAGACAGGAGGATCTCTATTGGTTTGAGACTAGCCTTATCTAAATAGTGAGTTTCAGGCCAGCCAGGGCTATAGAGGGAAGCCCTGTCTTTAAATTTTTTGGCCAGGTATAGTGCCACATGTTTTTAATTCTAGCAACATAAGAGGCAGAGACAAGCAGATCTCTGTGAGTTCAAGGCTAGTCTGATATACATAGTGAGCTTCAGGCCAGGCCAAGGCTACATGATAAGATCTTGTCTCAAAAATAACAGTAAATAAATAAAATTTTAAAGCTGTGTCTGGGTATGGAGTTCAATGATAGAGAATTTGTCCAGAAACCATAAACTCATAAACACTGTAAAAACGAAACAAAGCCACAACAAAATAGCTATATCTGGATATATGCCTGCAGGTGGGTACATAAGCATGCACACAGATATACACACAGGGTATCTAGGAATGAGCCGATAATGCCCCTGAGCAGCTGCCAGACCCAATCAGAAAGAAGAGAAAGAAAAGTTAAACTTCCACTTCTCAGATCTAAGAGACCTGGGAAAGTGTTGTTTCACCTTTCCTGCCTGGAGACCAGGAGTGTTTGTCTCTTGCTATAGGCCTAAGGAATTCCCAGGGCACTGGGATCTGAAGCCCAGTGATATAGAAGTGGAGTTCTGCCCCTCTGCTCCATTCGCCATCTAGGGGGTTGATAGGGCAGAATACCTCCGGGGAAGACAGTCTCTATACCTGGGGGCTATCCTCTTACAATAGTCCCTGCCTCCTCTAGGCTCAGCCATTCTAGGAAACAGCCACTTTCCACCCTCCTGTGGCAGGGTCACAGACCCAGGCCAGGAAGTCTGTCTGCAACTGGTTGGGAGGGGGAGGTGGTGAACAGGCAGCCTGCCCTTCCTTTCCTAGCAGAAGCCTGTCCTAGGAGCCCCGCAGTGTGGCTGGGGCTTGAGAGCAGGCAAGCCAGACAGCCCGGGAAGGCTAGGGACCAGCAGGAGAGAGGATGGGCTGCTGGGCCAGGGGAGGGAAGTAAGGAAAGGAGAGAGACAGATGGGAAAACAGAGGAGAGACTGCCAAGGAGAAGGTTGCAGTTGGCAGGGGGTGGGCGGATGCGGCGGCACTCCACCCTTCCCAGGCTGCTGCCTGACTCTTCCTGGCTTTGTTTGGCAAAGTTCTGGTCAAAGAACAAGGTGAGAGGCCTGAAAGAAGCAGCTAGGGTGGGAGGGGGAGGGGCCAGGGGAAGGGGAGGAAGTAGGCTAGAGAACGCTCCTACCTTGCCACCTGTTAGAGAGAAAGAGGGAAAAAGAAACAGCGGCTTTAGTCCGTTGGTTCTGAAGAGGATAACTTGCCCCTTCTTCCTCCCTGATGCTAGTTCTTGTGTTCACCCCTGCCCCCACCAAGGCTCCTCAGGCTTGGCCACTTGCCTGACAGTCATTCCTTCATTCATTCCACTAACAGCAGATTCATATTGAAAGTCAATACAAAGCTTACTTGTGCATCCCTGTGGGCTCAAGAGCTGGCTGAGTCCCCCCCCGGGTGGCACAGGGCCAGGTAGGAGGTTAAGGTTTTGTTCACACTGCCAGTGGTCTGCCCTCGTAACCTTGGTCAAATTTCAGGGCACTAGGGAGGCATGCTATTGTGGTAAACCCCAATTCTTCCTCTTCTGTCCTCGTCTGGGCTCCAGCCAGCCTTCCTGATTCATCCCTGAACATCTGCTTACAGCCCCTCATCCCTCTGTGCTGGCTTCTCCTTATATCCTGGTTACAACCTTCTGGTCTTGGTGCTGGGCCTTTGCTCTTGCTGTCTACTGCTTGGAAATCTCTCTAACTTCACTCTGCCTTACTGCACAGCAGGAATTCCACCTCACTGGGATGTCGAGATAGCCACTGTGGACACAACAGCTCACTCTGCTACTGGGTGCCCCAAAAGGTGGGCTTTGGTTGGAGTTCTAGCTCCTTTGTGTCTTTTGAGGGGAGGCAACAGCATGACCTCAAGCAGACCTGGCAGCGCTCTCAGGGTCTCACCTCGAGCACACTGCCTAACTTCCCCAGCCTCGTGGGTTCCGTGGGAGAGGGACCTGCCTGTTTTTCTCCTGAGACTGAAGAACAAGTGAGATGAAGACTGTGTAAACTTGCTTCTTAAATATAAAGTATTCTTTGGAATACAAAGGTTTGTTTGCATTTGAAACTCTGTGCACACTCACTTACACACACACACACACACACACACACATGCAAGCATACTTGGCATTTAAGAGATATGGCTGAATGATTGCTTCTGCCCTCCCCCCTCACCTTTCTCTTCTCTTCCTTCTTCTACCTCCTAGCCACCCAGCCATGTTGCTTACCTGGATGCATCTTTGTGGGGCAAGAGCAGGAAGTGACACCCGGAGCACCTGCCGTTAACAGATAAAGTTTTATTTGCATCGATCTAACCCCCAATCTAATCTCTTTCCTTTCTAGGGCTGTACACACATAGTCCCTTCAAAAGAAGAAAGGGGTGCCTGCCAAGTGCCCTGGTCATGATAACCCCTCCCCCATAGGATAGGTCTCTGTATAAAACACCTGGTATAGAGGTGGGATAAGGAGGCTTGGATCCTTTTGTGTATGCCATATAGGGAGGGGCTGAACTGATGGGTGGGTATGGGCTTCTGGGGAGGAGGGGGACCTTAAGGACTTTGTTCTTGCAGCACAAATGAATGGACAGCCTTCCAGGGTCCTCACTGCTTATTATTGTCCCTTCTCACAAAGACTGGAAGATAGTGAGGAGTTTAGGGTCTGAGTCAATTTGTCATCCACTGACAAGCTGTCATCATGTGTAGCTGTTGAGGTCTAGCCTCGACTTTTGGGGCCTGGCATGCAAGGCACAATTGACAACCCCAGTACTGACAACCCTATAACTCAGTACACTTGAAGACTAAAGGTATCAAGACCCTCTTAACTCATATAGTCACTGGGCAAATGAGCACAGATGTACACACACACACACACACACACACACACACACTCACAAACACCTCTAATACAAAAGCACAGAGTCGCAGATCAAATCTGGAGCCTTGTACTTGGAAAGCAGGATTTCTACCACTGAGCCTGTCCCCAGCCCTAGAAAACCATTCATTTCTATTGGTTTCCGTGTGTTCAGCTGAAATCAGTCCCAAATTATGCCCATAGTCTTTCTGGCTCTCTACTTTTTTTTTTTAATTTTTAAAAATTTAAAAAAATTTATATGTATGGGTGTCTTGCCTCAATTTATGTCTGGGCACCATGTTCATGCAGTGTACACAGAGGCCAAAGTAGGAACCAGACCCAAGAACTGGAGTTATGTGTGGCTGTGAGACACCTCCTGGGTGCTGAGAATCAGACCCGGGTTCTCTAGAAGAGCAGCCAGTGCTCTAACTGCTGAGTCAGCTCCCCAGCCTCCACTGTTCCCTACTCTTTCCCCTGACTAATGATGAGTTAGAAGTCTCATGAGGCTGGACTTAGGTGTGTGAAGGGATGTTAACGGAAACCTTTGGGCCAATCAAGACCTGAGTTAAAAGCAAGAGAAAAGACTTGGAATGTCTTTTCCATTCAAGCCTAGCTATCTGAGAAACAGGAATTGTCAGTTTTAGAAGGGACTTTGCAAGCCCATAACTCTCAAGTGACCTCTCTACCTGATGTGTCAGTTCTAACTCCTGCAGAGTGGAGGTTCAGAGGCTAGCCTGGAAACTAGGGGGAGGCTTTGGTAGTGGTGGGGGGACAGGTAGGCAGACATGCATGCAAATACACAACTACCTGGGACAGACACAGGCAATCCTCTAGAAACTGATCAACATGTGAAACATATGTTATCCTCACAAAGACCCAGAGGCACAGGAACAGTTCAATGAACAGACACATACCTAGAGAATCTAGGACCATACAGGCACCCATCCACTCACACAGAGCCCTCCCCCTTTACCACCCTCAGCAAGCAGGGCCAGGTCCTTACCTGAGAATGTAGAGTAGGGGCAGGAAGCCTGAGATGGTCTCCTCTCCAGGGAGTATTTGTACAGGACAGGGTGGGGTCAGGTCATATGCTCTTGGGAGAGTCCAGGGCTGAGGATTCAGGTAATGAAGAGGGATAGGCTAATCTCTACCAGGGCAAAGAGCACTAGAAAGCAGGAGTGGGGTGGAGCGGGTGAGAACAGTAGGGAACATTCTCAGAGCCAAGTACAAGGTCACAGGTGAGTGTTTCACACAGGGCTGGCACACTGATTTCCACAAACTAGACAAGGCCATCATTTCCTCCCAGCATGTGGGAGAGGGAAAGTGGCCATTGGTACATTCCTGCTTTGGGATCTATGGCCTAGAGTTCTTAAATTGTTGCCCAGTCCAGCGAGCTTGTCTGGAAACAGAAATCACACACAGAAAAGGGGACCATGGGGATGAAATCTGGATGAGGCAGAAAGGATGAAAACTTTCAGAACTCAGGCTGCCAAGTTGCTCTGCCTTAGCCAAGGCCTTCGTAGGCTGCTGGTATCGATGCCCCAGTACCTGCTCTGTGCCATGATACTTTGTTCATGGGCTGGCTCGGGCAGCCCAGGAGCCCCTGCTATGAGCTTTCTATCTTCTGAGAACCTTTCTTCCGACACCTCTTATCCCCACTGATCTCTGCACATCTCAAGTTCAGGGACACAGTGGTTCCTTCAGTTACTTGGCCATTGGCGGCTCTTCTGGCATTAGTAAGTGCCCAGTAAATTTGATGGATTTTTTTCCATTTTTAAAAAGTTTATGTGTATAGGTGTCTTACCTGCATGTTTGCCTGTGTACTCCATTCATGCAGTGCTTGTGAAGGCCAACCAGAATCCCTGGATTTAGAAGAGGGCATCGGATCCCCTGGAACTGGAGTTATACATAGTTGTGACCTGTCATATAGAAGCTGGGAATCGAACCCAGGTCCTCTGGAAGAGAAGACAGTGCTCTTAACTGTGAAGCCATCTCTCTAGACCCTTGGTGAATGAATTTTGATAAATTTGCTAAAGTTAGTTGTTAGGTAATGACTGGCTTCTTTTGTTGTGGTTTATATTTGTGTGGATTTTTTCCTTCTATGTTTATGTGTTTTTAAAAATTATTTTCTGGAAGATGACTGTGCTCTGTCCTAATAATACAATGCTGCTCAAAACAAGATTCTTACCAGGTAGGCTACAGAATGAGAATCTACCAAAATAAAAATGAAACTGAGATTGGCAATGTCTCAGTGAGTGAAGGCACTCGCCACTGTCCAGCCTGACAACCTGAGCTTGATCACCTGAGCCCACGTGATGGAAGCAGAGAACTGACTCCCAAAAGCTATACTCTGACTTCCGCACTCAGTCCATTGCATGCCCATGTACACACACACACACACACACACACACACACACACACAGAGACACATACACACATAGACACATATACAGGTAGACATACATAGCAGACAACACAAACACAGACATAAACACACACACACAGACACACAAACAGACATACACACACAGATAGAGGGACAAAGAGACACACACAGACAGGCACACAGAGATACACATAGACACACATAGCAGACATACACACAGAGAGACACAAATACATATACAGATAGACATACACAGACACACAGACAGACATACAGACATACACACATACAGATAGAGAGACAAAAAGACACACACACAGACATACAGAGACACACACATAGACACACACACACAGACACACACATAGACACACACAGACAGATACACAAAGATACACACAGAGGTGGGAGGGAGAGAGGGATATATGTCTGCATGTGTATACACATAAAAAAATAGATGTTAAAAAAAAATAGGGCTGGGGTGTTGCTCAGTGATCATGCCTAATATGCCCAGGTCCCTAGGTCTGATACCTAGAATTTATGGGTGCCATGGTTTGTATATGCTTTAGAGTGGCACTATTAGAAGGTGTGGCCCTGATTGAGTAGGTATGTCACTGTGGGTGTGTGCTATAAGACCCTCACTTTAGCTGCCTGGAAGTCAGTCTTCCACTAGCAGCCTTCAGATGAAGATAGAGAACTCTTAGCTCTGCCTGCACCATGCCTGCCTAGATGCTGCCATGCTCCCACCTTGATGATAATGGACTGAACCTCTGAACCTGTAAGCCAGCCCTAATGTTGTCCTTATAAGAGTTGCCTTGGTCATGATGTCTGTTCACAGCAGTAAAACCCTAACTAAGACAATGAGGCGGGGGAAAGGAAAAAAATGCTTAAGAAGAATGGAAACCCAGGTTGTTAACTTTGTGCTAACTGTTCCTAGTAGTTTGGGGAATAGCTAAAGACTGAGACAGTCTCTATCTTGCCTGAATTGTGAGTTAATAAACCAAATGTGATGCATACGTCAAATGATATGATGGAATAAACAACTGATACAAACCACACTGTGGCAGGAGGTCAGAATAATTATGTGGAGTGAAGGAAGCCACACACAGAGAATACATACTACATGGTTTTGTCTAGAATAGAAAAGCCTAGAAAATTGATAAGCACAGCAGACTCATGGGCAGTGGAGAAAGGGGGGAGGAGAATAAGCAATGGGGGTAGGTGTCATGGCTTCATGAAGCATACACATACCAAAACAACTTGCACAATTCAAATATGATATACGTGGTTTATGGCATGCCAATTTGACCTCAGTTAGAATCGTAAAATAAAAGTTGCCATGGTCACCATCAGAAAACAGGAAGAAAGCTTTGAGGAACAGGATGAGTCTTCCTTATCTCAGTGCTGCCAACCAGGATCAGCTCTAGGTGGTATTGTTAATACACACACACACACACACACACACACGCACGCACGCACGCACGCACGCACGCACGCACGCATATATGCATGCATACATTCATTATGGGCATTTTGTCTGCATTTGTGTCTGTGTACCATGTGAATGCCTGGTACCACTGGAGGCCAGAAGAGGGCATCGGATTTCCTGGAATTGAAATCACAGCTGGTTATCAGCTGCCATATGGGTGCTGGGAATTGAACCCTGGTCATTTGGAAGAGCAGCCAGTGCTCTTAACTGCTAAGCCATCTCTCCAGGCCTACAAGCTAGGAGGTGTTACCCTCTCTTCTCTTTTTTTGTTATTTTTAAATATTTTGTCTAGATGTATTTATATTGCTTTATGTTTATAAATATTTTGCCTGTATGCATATAGGTATCTTATACACATGACTTTTGGACCCTCTGGAACTGGGGTTACTCATGGTTGTGAGTCACCATAGGGGTGCTGGGAGTGGAACCTGGGTTCTCTGCAAAAACACATCTCCTAATCACTAAGCCATCTCTCCAGATCCATTCCCACTTCTTTCAGAGGTAGGGCTTCGGTTTCTGAGACAGGATTGAAACTTTCCCAGGCT